TTATTCATTCCCAAATACTGAAATTCATTAGTTTACTTTGCAAGCAGTCCATCCATCAGTCTAAGGCAAACTGCGAAACCTTACTTTAATCAGCACTAGCCTATTTTGGATTTTGTCAAGCCGCGTCATAGAATATTGTAATATTAGATAGAAACGTGTATTAAATATGGCTACTAAATCGTGCACCAAAGATGCCACTGGCCAATTCCCTTGCATGTCTCCTTGTTCTACCCCATCGTTTGTAATTTCTTCTGATGTGGAGTCACTACCTTATTGTATCGTCATTTTCTTTGAGCAAGGCGTCCCTTGAAAGCATTTGCAAACTGGACAACGGGTCAAAAGCCCTCTTTGCGAATAAATTCTAAAGTATGAATTGCATTGGCCGAGGGTCTACCAAAGAGCACAGCAGTCTTTGCGGTGGTTGTGCCTGTAATATTCACTTGTTTTATGCTGGTTTCTTTACTTCTTACCCTGCTTTTCTCCCAGTGGTATAACATTTGGAGAGGATTAGTAACGTGAGACTGCTACTGATGTACATTTAGCAACTGCTGTTGCTGTCTCCACCTTAAATTACTCCTTCCCGCTATTTTAGACGCCATATGCTGGGCCCGTTTTTAGGCCGGGTTTATCCAAAATGACGTATTTTGCAACTCACTAACGTGGCTATCCGTGCCTACATGCTAAACCTCTCGTTGATGTATTTATTTCGACCAGAAATCGAGAAGTAAACGCTATCCATTTTATGGCTCATCCAATACAAATGCTTGATGCGGCATCCCTTCACCCGTCGTCTTCACAAACAACTGGCGAATTGACATCTGTGGAGGTGAAAGCAAATTGGCAGGGCGTGCATGAAATGGTGGAATTCGTCTGATAACTTGCAACCGAAATCACAACGACTCTCTAGCTAAAGCTTCCTCCGCCAAAGACGTTCAACGATTAGTCACCGGTGAAGCACTCGACGCCGTTTGAGACTCGGCTGTGCCAATGTCGATTTCTGTGTGTAATTTGTTTTCCTCTTAACAAATTTGTGTATCATTTGTAAGCATGCTTGCGCACAGTTGACGGTTATGCCATTCAATCCCTTATTTTAGACTTTGGTGCATAAGTTTTATCTTACTTGCGCATGGTCCATTGCTTTTCACTGCTTGACCTCTGCAGTTCGGCCATGTCCGCTTATCGTCGAATATAAGTACATGGGAAACATTGCTGTTCGTAAAACTTGAATCTACTAATTGCTGAAGTAACTAACTTTTAACTATTATTGTATCTGAGTGAATCTTCGGGGTCGAAATCGGTTCTTGAACTGTTAAAGGTGATATGTGTGTTGAATGGTAGTAGTTCTTTAAATTTGTTTTCCTCATCTAACCCCATCGATTAACAGTCTGACAGCCTCAGGCATTGATGGGCGCACGCCTAGTCTTTGAAGTTGTCAGCGTTGTTGATAACCTCCAACCATTCACCTGCTTACCTCGTTTCGGCAGCTCAAGAGCTGCAGTTGGTGGAAAAGGGGAGAGCTTATGTAAAGACGGCAGCGAAAGGGAAAAAAGATACACGGCAGAGAGTCATACAGTAACAAGTGCACTTATCTTGTGGCAGGGCTTCAACCCTAACAGTCATTCTCAAGGTGGGACTGTGAAGGACTCCAACATGGAGACGGGTGTTTACTAGAGAAAGGAATACCTGTCCAGTCCCGCATGTGCGTGACGATATTTGGTGTAAGTTACTGAGGTGGTCATTTTAATCATCCTTATCCTCTCCATCTCCTCCCCTTATGACACGGTTACCAATAGTCGAGTAATGTGATGTGGTTACCTTTATAACCTCTTAATTACAATCGTCGTACTTGGAAATCGGATCCGCGTTAGCATTGGGTATTCCGTGCCCGAGATCGCATGGGCACGTAATGGGCTACTCGGAAGTGGAAGGATTCGTCAGTCTCGATGCCGCCAGGCACAACTTCCGCGACCTGTTCTTCGAGAAGATTAGCATCCTCGGGGTATCTAGTGCACCAGTCTTGTCGAAGCATCGCCCTACTTTCATCTTTTCCAACCGAAATAAATGATCTTAAGGTAGGCAACATCATGCAACTACCAAAATGCAATATTCCAGATATTTTGCACTGTAAACTCGGTCTTTTGCTATGCAATGACTGTTTCGGCTTAGAAATGCCAGCACTAAAATGCCTTCTTTTTCCAACCCCTCCTAATTAAATATGTGAGAATTTGGGCTCGCGAATGGATACATGCCGCAATGAACGACTGCTGAGGCTATAGAATCAGCTCCTATGTGCCTCTAAAAGGCTTCGTTTGTCATCACAACAAAGTGATGGTCCTCGGGTACGTAGGATACCTCCAACTTATCAAACGGACCTGTGCGAAAGCATTCACTACCACTTTCGCCTTCCACCCTGACAGACGGCATGTGTACGTGCTCAAGCTCAGCGTGGCCTGCAGTCATTAGGAGTACTGAAGGGTTACCGCTAGTGCACGTGTAATGCAAAGCTGAATGAGAAGCACATTGCGTTGTGCAAAACTTGTTTTACTTGAAACGCAAATGACAGGGGAAAGGCGAAGGAGCATCACTGGTAAGAATGGATGGTGTGCTCAAGCAGGGGAAGTGAAGAGGAGAGAAGCGTAGAGATGCTGTAGGCAAAAGAGCTGATGATGCAATTGTGTGAACTTACGACGAGGATGGAGAATAGGCGAAGGAAAAATGAGTAGACATGGACGAAGAGTACCGCAAATTTCAAGTGATGAACTGGGAATTCTAAGAAGGGGGAGAAGAAGACAATGGAAGAAGCTTGGGAGAAACTGGTGTAACCAAACTGAAGGAGTGAGGGAGAAGAATGGGTAAAGGAGATGTATGCGGAGGAAGGAGTGGCAGCAGAGGGAGCAGATGAATATGAATTCTAGGATTCGTAGATAGATGAGAAAGAAATAGTGGATGAGGGAGGGACGGAAGAACTGCATAAGGTAATTGTGTAAGACTTGTAAGATAAATGGAAAAATGAAAAAATGAGTCAGTCAACGTCTGCAAACGTAGAGAATTCGCAGAAGTTACAATTATGGATGTGAAATTGTGAGGAAGATGGGGTAGGAATGGGGGAGGAAGTGTTGGGCAAGGAATCAAAGTAT